ACCCCCCTGACTAGAGGAGGTGAGGTCCACCCCTAATAAAGCAGGTTAAAATAATTAAATTGAATACATTTTATTTTAGTTAAAACTGAAACGGGTCCCACAGACCCAAACAGCACACAAAGGTTAAAGGTCAGCATATCATAATGTTAAAATGTGCTAAATATATACACTGCAAAAAAAGAGAGGAGTAAAAGTAGCCCCCGACTTGTTTTATTTTTTAAAAGAGCTCTCATCCTAAAAAGGTTGGTGACCCCTGCTCTAGAGTATACATTTATTGAACACACCTCTTTTTATTGCATTTTAATACTTTAAATACGTTTTATAAAAGGTTGGTGACCCCTGCTTTAGGGGCTCCGTAATAATGGTATACCAACACAATTGTTTGCATTTACAACTTCGATTGCATTGATATTTTGTTTGCACATTTAAAAGGAGTTGTTCTTATCTGCAAAATTAGTTGAATGTCTGTGTTTTTACTTCAAAAATCACAAATTCTGCCAAAAAAGCATACACTTTTATAGGTTTTGGCATAAGGATTTAAACCTCTGTCAAAAGTTTAGTTACTCAAGGTACTGTTTGAAATCAAACTTTGTCACTCATTCAAGTATGGATCCAGATCCAGCAGAAATGACTTAATGTCTTTGTTTTTCTGTGGCTTTATTCAGGCGAAACAGTGTTCTTCAGCCAACCATGAAACCTACCAAGAACGACTGCTCCGCCTAGAAGGAGACAAGGAGTCTCTGGTGCTACAGGTAAGAGTGTGCGCCGTGTGTGTGTGTTTGTGCGCGTGTGTGTATGTGCGTGTATGTGCGTGCATATGTGTGTGTGTGTGTGTGTGTGTGTGTGTGTGTGTGTGTGTGTGTGTGTGTTGTGGTGTATGTGCGTGCATATGTGTGTGTGTGGTGTGTGTGTGTGTGTGTGTGTGTGTGTTGTGTGTTGTGTGTGTGCGCCATATGTTGTGTGTGTTGTGTGTGTTTGTGTGTGTGTGTGTGTTTGTGCGCATATGTGTGTTGTGTGCGTGTGCGTGTGTGTGTTCAGACTTTCTTAAAACACACAAGTCCCTGTGCAGTTCCAGCAGGAAGTGTGTGTAGCATGTCATTCCCTGAACTCTCTTTTCATGTTTCCAGGCAAACATCTGTGTTAGATACAGGGAGACTTTTGCCATCCTACATTTGCTATTTAAAAGAAATAAAGAAAAACATGGAATCATAGCTGTTATTCTTGTTCAGTACTGTTTCTTTCAACCACATTTTTAAAATTCCTTTATGTGCAAATGAACCAGGTGTTTGTCTGCATGGATTGATGCCACACTGAAAACACTTCTTATAGTCTCTGGTCTTTTATGCTCGTGCTTTAGATATGTCATTACAAACATGCCCAGGCACCATAAACAGTCTGAGCATGTGTTTACTGACTTTTACAGAGTGATTATTGGGTAATTTATGTATTACCACAGATTGACAGACCTCTCTTTTCAAATGTACGTCCATTGGTCAATGGCAACCCTTGACCTGGAAGCTGTAATTTCACATTAAGGCCACTATGACTTCAAAGCCTGGGGCTGCGAGTCACTTACGGAGCGTCCACACAGCAGCGTTAAAGAAATCTTCTCACGCTTCTGCCCATTCACTTTGAATGGGGTGACGTCACTTTGCCTCACTTTTCGCCAAACTGCATTGTGGGAAGCAGAGCAGAGATTTTCAGGATTTTCAGGATTCAAAGTTGAGCAATGTTCAACTTTTGAAGCTGAGGTGGAAGCATCAGCCAATCAAATCCCGTTTATGCAAATCTGACAGTTCAAGCGCTAGCCAATCAAACGGCGTGTATGCTGGGAGAGACATACCGCAGGTCATTTCCTCATATTCCAAAAAATGGAGGAGAAATTAGCGGTAGGGAATCACCTGGTGCTTTATGACCAGTCCCTAATTACCTACCGGGATACAAACCGGAGGAGCCAGGCATGGAGGGAGGTGGCAGAGACAGTGGTAGGTTTTCGCCTGTTTGGGGAGTTTATATCCAGTTTACTTCGGGCTTTTGTGCTTTGTATGTCGGGGGCGGGAGATTCATGTGATTGGTTGTTGGTCGCGTTGCTCGCAAAAAATCCCCAAGCTTCAGATACGCCCACCTCCAAGATTTTTTTAGCGCTGCTGTGTGGACGCTCCGTAAGGGCCCAGAGGAGCACTGACCAATCAGAACAAACTGAGCTTTTTCCGCGATGGGGGCTTGAAGAGACAGGCAGCAACACATACAGTTTTAGACATATACAGGTATATTCCGTTTTTTGACCATGAAAGCATGTACAATTGTTATTGTAGAAACCCAAAATACAACAATGAAAACGAGTGCAGAGCCCCATGGATGACTGGTTAAAGTTGTCTCTCACTCACTTACTCACTCATTTACACACCTACTTGTTACACATTCTGCATCAAGGACCAGCTGTGATTGGTTGGCATACAAGGTGACTGGGGCTTAGCTGACACAACATTTCACTGTCTGTTGACAGGTTGCCTGCTTCAGGTTATTTGCTTTACTTTTCATTCACATGCCTCTCCGTAAGCACTCTGTGTCAGCATACACACACTCTTTGTAAAGTAACTAACTTCCTTGTATCCCAGTAGGGACTTTACCCCTTCATTTGTGTGTGTGTAGCTCAGCAGCAGAGCCCTGAAGAGGTAGGCATCTTTATTTTCAATGTTAGGAGTTTATACAGTCATATCAGAGCCCTGCTTTGTCTTTTAATAGCTTTGTGGTACTACACACTTAACATATATAAGATATAGATGACATTAGTCAGGTAATGGTCAATTCGATGTTTTAGGTGCTAAACAACCACAGTGTCTGAAATCATGATTCTTAGCTGCCAGTATGCTGTGGGTCCTGGCTGCAGGGCTAATATTTAGAGAAGCTGTGGTGAAAAATAATGTGCTCCTTCAAAGGGATCTGGCAGAGTTTTGGACAACAGGAGACTGCAGGGTGTGTAATGATTCGCAGGTGCTCAGTGTGTCGTTAAGGAGATTGTAGTAAATGTGCAATTGTTGAGGTATGCCAGGAGGAATGTGTGTTGTGTGGCGTGAAGGAAGACAAAGAGACATTGTATGTGTGTGTGTGTGTGTGTGTGTGCACGTGCATGTATGTTTGTGTATGCATGTGCGTATTTGTGTGTGTGTTCGTGAAAAATATGGGTAGGTGTTTTCCAACAGAACAAGTTAACAAAACAATTGTTTTGTCTGTTTCTGTATGAATGTGGGTATATTCATCAATATCGGTGCATGTTTCCATGTCTCTGTTTGTGTTTGCAATACCTTCAGTGTGTGTATTAATCTGCCGCTGGTCAATTCAGCTCTGTTTCTCACTTTGCGTCCAAACAAACAAACTTTTTTCTGCTGTAACTACGTACATTACCCCTCTGTGGGACTAATAAAGGTATTCTGATTCTGATCGGATTCTGATCCTTTAGGTGAGCATTCTGACAGACCAGGTGAAGGCCCAGGGAGAGAAGATCAGAGACCTAGAAAGTTCTCTGGAGCAACACCGGCAAAAGTTGGCCTCTACAGAGGTGATGCTGCAACAGGTAATGCACACATACACACACACGCACACACACACACACACACACACACACACACACACACACACACCACACACACACACACACACACACACACACACACACACACACACACACACACACACACACACACACACACACACACACACACACACACACACACACACACACACACACACACACACACACACACACACACACACACACAGTCCAAAATAATTTTGGAGAGCTATACTTCTTAGCCAGTGACAAAAACAACATTTGATTTAGGTGTTTTCCGTGCTGTTCAAACCTGTATTTTGTCTGCGGCTTTATAAATAAGATAAAGTAAAAAATATGTTCAAAATAATAAACATTAAGAGGAAGAGTTCACTTTGTATTTTGCTGGATTTGCCTGAATATGCATTCCAAGTCTTTATTATTTTGGATGTGGATTTTAACATCAATTATAACTTTATCCCAAGAAACGAATGAAACTTCCATTTTTGAAAGTGATCTAGCAGAGAGTATTTGGAAACATTCATCATAAATGCTACAGTTAGGAATTAAGATAAAGAAAATGTTTATTAGCGACTTTATATGTTATTTTGAATATTTGTATTTTATTTTAAACATAAATCATGCCTCCTGTCAATTTGACCCGAACAGTACTACCAGGTGCAAAATGTGAACATAATACAAGGGTAAAGGACCTTTGTAATCAAATGTGTGAACGATAATTCATGGGCTTTTCAGTGGCATTTTTTTTTTTGGCACACTGGCTTCATGTTCTTTGAAAAAAGGTGCCATGAGTTACAAGTGAAATAGTTTAAAGCCATGAATCATTGCCATGATATTCGAGTGACTGACTGTTTTAGTGAATCATTAACCTGGCCAGCTGTGCAGAAGATCTCTGTGTCCGCTGTGAAGTTCAGTTCGGGGGAGATCTCGGGAAGACAGACAGGGCAGAGGCGGAGAATCTGAGGCCGCCCCCAGCGGCATACAGGTGAAGCCGCTGAGGGCAGGAGCCGGAGCCGGAGCTAAGCTAATCTGGTGGCCAGACTGCTGGGGCAGGAGAGGAGGCAGGAGCGGGGGCAGGAGCGGGGACAGGAGCTGGAGCAGGAGGGGGGGCAGGAGGGGGGGCAGGACCGACGGTAGTAGCTGGAGGTTGGCAAGCTTGATATTTGAGCTGTAAAAGAAGTGTTAATAAAATATTTTATCCTGCCAGGTAAAAAATGTATAAGCCAGGGTTTAGCTTGAGCTTCTGAGTTTGGAGAGGCAGCCGTTTTGATTATTTGCCAAACAACAGGAGGTTGCTGTACACTGCTGTAGACACAGTGTAATGTTATGAGTTTAGACAACATGTATGTTTAGAACAAAGCAAAGGTGACCTTTTTGATCAAGAACTGTGGACTGCTCTGCTACTACTGAATACGGTGTCAGTGTGAAGCACTTTGCATAATAATATAATGAGGCTTGAAATATTCTGTTATTGTTCACAGGGCCTGTTTTTACGTATTGCTGATTTCTATGCGGCAGCATCTTTTTTCAATTGTTTCCAATCAGGAGAGAGCATATGCTGTCATGTCTCCGCCTCAAGAGAAATACTGCATCCAGCTGCTTTTTTCTGAGCAGCATTTTTGTGCGGCTGTTCCAAGTGCTTTGATTTGAAGATATTTCTACTTTTCCAAAAAGTGCTGGGTACATCACCATAGAGAAGCTTTTTTTTGGCCAATGTCCTTCAGACAGAAACTTTCTTTACAAAGACCTAATGCCGCTTAGTTGGAGCGGATTATCCGAGTGGACCCTGAATGTTGCTGCCTGTAAGTGTTGTACTTTTTTCTCCGCACGTGGGTTAAGCTGAAGTTCATTCATACAAGTTCTGAGAGCAAGAATCTTCCTGTTGATGTTCATGGTGAAACATAATATATGTATTAGCACGAACAGATAATTCATTCAAAGGGGGTGAAGCTACTCAGTATTTGAACAGCGAGCGGTGGCTCTGCTCACGTCCTGCCAGCACTGCCAGAAAAGGCCCTATGTGGACACAGGCCCAAAGTTGTTATCAGCCCTTGGTAAAATGCTTGCTCCTTATGCGCTCCTTATGACGATACAGCAGTGTCAGCCCCAGATAGAAGAGACCAACAGGAATGAGCAAGAGTCACATTTGGCCTGTTGACCTTTTACCAAAGACACAGGACACTGCTGGTCAAATCAAGCATGTCTGAAAAAGATCTCTTTAAGAATGAGCCAGTTTTTCTCAACTGCATTACTGAATAACACTCTCTGTCGGTGCTCAAAATTAATCATGTTTTTTTGTAGGATTTAAATTCCTAAAAGAGCAGGATTCAGGGGGGTCTATTTGTGGAGATGGAACATAATAGCTGTTATTCCAGTTGTTCCATTATGTTGTCATCAGTGTATAATCCCCTCAAACTATCAATTGTTGTGATGTCATTAACTTTGACCTTTTAATATCTTCTTCCACAGAGTTTACCATGTTGCACCACCATTTTTCTACAGTAGCCCAGAACAAACAGAGCTAAATCCTACACAGTTCTCCTTTGAGATTTCCAGGAACTGAGTTTGGTCTGCAGGCAGTTTGTATATATATATATATATATATATACTCTTTATATCATTAGTATGTCCACCACTCCCCTTCTGTCAACCCTACTGTAGACTAGTCCCACTTACTTGCCAGTATGAAGAGGTGAGTATTTTTTTACTTGACAAACTCATGAGTTGTGTCAGCTGAATTTAACAAGAGCTCTGCTCTGTGTGTAACAGAATCAGCCCTCTGTTTGGACTCCCCAATAGCCTCTTTGTCCTCTCTGTTGTCAAGACAAAAGATGAAAAGGCAACAGTTTCAACAGAAAGTACCCCTCTAACCCTGTGACATTTTTTGTTATATTTATCCAGCTAGCTTTGATAATTGATCCCCTTTTGCAGGTGCTGTACTTGGAGGAATTCGTCTAGAGACGAGTTGGTGTAACTCCAACAGACTTTGTTCAATTGGTCCCTAATTACATGTGAATGTTGATGGTCACACTTTAACCCTGCTCCTTTGCATTACTCATGAACCATTTGTAGTTGACTCCTGTGTTAGCTATTTCAATCATCTGAGAGAGTGCACGTCGACCGGTGAAATGCCACTAAACACGTGTGTGAGGGCCCTTTCAATGCTGCTTGCTCATTTTGGTATCAGGGTTTTAAGAAGTGTATCCAGATATGAGTTCTGATGATATGTAGCTGTGTTACGTATAAAACAGTTTGGCTAAATAATTGAATGCTGTCAGAGAGGGTGATAGTTCCTCTTGTGTTGCTCCTGATAACTCAAAGAAATGAAATGTCAATGATGATGAGTTATGATAAACTACCTGTAAAAATAGCAGCTTATCCTTCTATAGGTGACACTGTGTGTGTGTGTGTGTGTGTGTGTGTGTGTGTGTGTGTGTGTGTGTGTGTGTGTGTGTGTGATAATAGGCTTTGAGCTGTCTGTGGCTGTGGTGTTGACACAGTTTGTTTAGCATGTGATATTTTCATTTAGATGGAATGGTATCCTTCTGTGGTCAAAGAGAATTGCATCACTTCTAAAGTAAGGAAAGCTTCCATATAGAATGACGATTTGGTTTTACAGAAATCAAAAAATTGCACTACTGCCAAACAGTAGTCTAACCTGCGTAAGTATAATTTAAACAAGTTATTTAATTATTTAAATAAAAGTCAAATCAGATCATGTGATCAAATAACCAGATGCAAGAGAGACCATCTACTTGAATCCAAGATGTGCTCACTGGTTTCATGACAGTTTAATGTCAAACTGTTGGAAGCAAATGAACTGGCAGTATGTTCTTCAGGATGAAGGATATAGGGCGCTTGTATGTATCTGTTTTAGTTTGATGGAATCACTTTTAGCTGTCTGCACCAGCTGGACCTGTTATAGTGGGCAAACCTATTTAGAGACTTGTTTTTTTATTTTCTCTCTGTCAGAGGATGGATATCAGAGGCCTAAATAACAATCCAAGGCACGTTTAGTGTAGAGAGGAGGAAATTGCATTAGAAGTAATTTAGAGAAGAAAAACGAAATACACAGACACACTGAGAGTTAGCACAGAGGTGTGTGTTTTGTGTGTGTCAGAGAAAAAAAACCCACACATTTCATCATGTTTGGTGGCTTCACTCTACGACATACTTTGTGTTTTTCTTTCCCATACAAAAGAAGCACAGACAGTGTGTGTGTGTGTGTGTGTGTGTGTGTGTGTGTGTGTGTGTGTGTGTGTGTGTGTGTGTATTTAGCCTTATGGGTTCTGGGCCCCCTGCTTATCCTGCTATGTTAGTGTGGGGAGAACATTGTTCTGAGTGGGTCTGACTTCTCTGTGCTTTTATGCCCAATATCAGTGAGTGTTTGACATTGCTATAGGTGTAGTTTGTAAAGCTGTTCAAGTTTGGCTTTCTATCCTTTTCTACTCTAACTGACAGTGGCTATGTGTTTCTCCCAGGAGCTGATGAGCAGGACCTCTCTGGAGACTCAGAAGCTGGATCTGATGGACGAGGTGTCCTTCCTGAAACTGAAGCTGGTCAGCATAGAGGAGACACACACCAACACACAGCAACCAGACCCCACCGACACAGAGCAGAACAAAGCCGAGGTGTGTGTGTGTCTGTGTGTGTCCGTGCGTGCATGTTTCAATTAGCAATTTCTGCTCAACTCGTTAAAAAATTGCAGAGCAGCTGTGGGTCCATTAGCAGCTTAAATGCTGCTTGTATTTAAGTTGCTTTGGACAAAGATCCCTACTGCATTTTCCAAAATGAAAATATCAACCCATAAACCTTTTTCCCATGAAATATATGGAACATGTACTATATTGTGCTGTATATAATAGTGTTGTGATCCCAGACATTCATGATACAATAAATGTAATGACTTTGGCGATCCTTTAGTGTCATCATCAGGATTCAATTCTGCTTGGCCAATTATTTGTTTTACTTGATATTTCTATTAGCCAGCTATACTGAAGTGCTCATTGGAAAATAAGAACCATGCTAACTCAGATGGTAAACGTTACACATGCTAAACAACCAAGAGTTAGCATTGTCATTGTGAGCCTGACATTAGCTCGTACTGTAGCTCATAGCAGCCTGTGAGTCACAGGGCTTCTGCAGTGTCTTAGTGTTTTTTAGAACTAATCCTTCATTTTTTTCAAAGCAATATGCATTCCTACCTATTCAAAATGTATCACTTCCTGCTATCAGACACTCACTCTCTAGCAGATGTTAAGTCTTTTGCCCACAAATTATACAAATACGCATTCCCTGTTGGGATATCAGTGACGTTCCAATGCTACTCCTGCGAGCATATCGAAGTGTCCGTGGGCTAGTTGCTCCTAAAGACAATGCCACTGTGTGTGAGAGAGTATACATGTGCATGAGATTATATGATGAGCAGTTTGGCTCCTTTTATGAAAGCCCTGCCATCATTGTATGCAGTGGCGTCGCCTGCATTAACCGTGCTTTACCTGAATCTCATCATGACACTAGAGAGGACGGCAGAATTGTAATTGCCCGTGTTCAGTGAATGCAACAGAGGCAAGACACCAGACCAACCAGAGAGTTGAATGGAAATAAACATCTGTCTTATTGGCTGACAGGTACCTATCCTGTGAGCTGTGACAATGTTTAAACTGTCAGTCGGACTCAGAGTTTTTGAAGATGGACATAAGAATTTTTTTCATAAAGAATACGACAATTCTCAAGTGGTGGCTCACACAACAACCCCAGAGCCAGCACTTGAGCCAGGTAAACAAGGTATGTAAATGTCAGTAAACTTCCAAGTTATGCGAACATGTACATGTAAGCAAAGCATAAATTACAGCTACGTTGACGTTACTTTGAACCGCGGGAGTAAGCTAAACCGTTAGCAAGTAGCTATAGCTAGCCAGAGATATTAAATAAACACTTTGTCATACAATCTAAATGTAATGTTTTTTAGCGTTACCTGGTGATTTCAAAGAAAGCTCTCTGGAAAATGTTGACTTACTGTTCGACATGAAGCTAGAAGCTACCTTACAGTACACAGTTGATCCTACCTCAACCTAGCACAAATATATGGATGTTATGTGACAGTATTTCTGAGAAAAAGTCAGCTGAAATGGTGGCATGGTTGCCACTGCTTTACGTGTCGACAGCATGTTTGAACGTATTTGCAGCAGTAAATTTGGCTGTTTGGCCACTGACGTTGCCATAACAACACCTGAATTTAAATGTGCAACCTCTTTTTGTGACAGATTTTTGCATGAAATTATAATTCTTCTGAATGATATTCCTATTGACAGCTAGTTTCTATGTGAACATTATGAGATGGACAGCCAGAGAGAATAAATGAAAAACAGTTATGAAATACTACATGACAGTAAAAGAAGAATAAAGTTTAAAAGGGGAGTGATTTGTAAAATATAAAAAAAGAAAATCTGTTTACAGTTCTGTTTCATATGGGGGTTGAGAGATGTATCCATAGATCTCTTAATTTTGCTCTCAAAGTGTACTGTGTATGTGCATGTGGGGAGTGTTGCAGTAGAAAATTCCACTGTAGCGCCGGCGCCACTGTGGGCTAAGCCCCGAATGTTTCCAGGTCCAGGTGACGCCCCTGATTGTATGTAATGTGTAACACAGTAGCCGCTTTCACACCAAGTACTTTGCCGTACTTAGTTCCCAGCACTTAGTTCCTAGCACTTAGTACCCCCATGGAGGTTCATGGCTGGTGAGGCACTGACTCTTTCAGAGTCAGATTTACAAATATTATTATATTTTGACCTTAATCTAAATATTCAGTTATTTTCCAAAGCTTTTTCAGTCTGATGCTTCGATTAATTTTAAACAGACCGTTCAACAAAAGGATACCCACTAAATGTAGTTTAATTTAAATATTGGATTGTTCTCTCTTATATAGTAAGATCCCATTTTCAATGAAATGGTGGTCTTACCTTGAGTTGAAGATGAAGTCCATGCGCCTATCCTTCCGGACAACAATCTCTATTACTTTGTCGTAAAAGTTACAACAGGGGTTCTCAACGGGGGCGGCAGCGCCCCCTAGGGGGCGTTCGGAGAGCGTCGGGGGGCGCTGGCAGCCATATTTTTGAAAGGGGCGTGTATATGTGTTTTTAGGGGGCGTTTTATAGGCTATGTTGTATAATCTAAGATTTGAAAAAAAGCGTGGCAAAGTGTTTGTGTTCGCCTGGCTCTGGATGTCTGCTCTTGTGTCCTCTTTTCAGGGGCGAGGAGGCAGGCTGTCTCTGCTTTCCTCTGTTCTATATCGTATAAGGCTTCGCCCTCTAAGGCTATCGCTATTGGGTAATCCCACTGCACGTGTGCAGCACTGACAGACTTAATCCACGCCCACCTATGACGTGGGCCCCACCTACGGACTCACTTCCGTATAAATAGGAAGTAGGCCCTACAATCTGCTCCCACTTTTCTTCAGCACTGTGTTGCAGAAGCACTGTCAGGCACAATTTCTTTTCAGAGCTGTTTACTAGAAAGCAAACATTCCTACCCCATCCTCCCTCTCCTCCGGACGGGGGAGACAGGGCGGGGGCCGGTGTCAACCCGACATATGAGTTGCGACCGGAGCTCACGGTGTGAGTCCTGCCGGGAACAGACAACAAAGCAGCGGAAGCCTACATAAATCACCAGGGAGGTGTACGATCAGCGCAGCTGAACACATCAGAGCATCCTACACAGCCAAATGGACAGCGTTCCGTTTGGTGTGTAGGGAAAAGCCTGGACCCCGTTACGGGCCCCCTGCCTCACGTGCTGTCGTTCCTCCAGCTGTTGCTGGACAGGAACTGGCTTATAGCACGGTCAAAACATATGCTGCTGCCATTTCATCTTGCCACGTAGGTTTTGGTGTCAGCACGGTGTTTAGTCACCCTCTGACAAAACGTTTTCTACGGGGAGTACAGACACTCAGACCTCTGTCACGCGCTTTGGCGCCTCAATGGGATTTGGCTTTGGTGTTACGCGCACTGAGAAAAGCTCCATTTGAACCTTTAGATCAGGTCCCCCTAAAAGTTCTTGTCAGCCAAAGTAGCTCTGCTCTTGGCTCTGACATCAGCTAAAAGGGGTGAGTGATTTGTCTGCTCTCTCTGTGGCTCCGTCATGCCTCCAGATCCAAGGAGATGGCAGCTCAGCTGTTTTGCGCCCTAGCCCGGCGTTTATGCCAAAGGTTATCACAGGCTCTTTTTTAGATCGAGAGTGATAACTACGTCAACATTGGGGGTTTGTTTCTTGCCCCATCTGACTTCTTCTACCAATTTTGCCAAATTCCTACACAGTATGGCATTATCCCCTATACAGCAATGGTGTGTGTGTGTTGTAAATTGGTATTAAAGTCCAAGTGATTCAAATTCACCATGGAGGAAACTTTAATATCTACCAAATAGTATCATCGTAAAAGTTGTTGAGACCCACCCAAAACCAAAAATGTCATCCTCATGGTAAACATTCTGTACACTCCGGGGACCATTCATGTCTTGATGGTCATGGTATCTAATAGTTGTTGAGAATTTCTAGTCTGGAACAAAGTGGGAGACCAACAAACCAACAATTCCTGAAGCCACAACGCTAACATGGTAAACTGAGTGTGTGTGACTGTTCCTCAATGGAACATTGACTGCATCGAAATAGCACTTAAAAGAAGAAATGCATCGATGACGTGGTACCGAAGGTTACTGTACGAACATTCCCAAATCAAAAGTCCTGGATAAACAGCGAGGTGCGTTCCAAGCTGAAAGCACGCACTATCGCGCACAGAGGTGGAGATTCAGAGGAGTACAAGAAATCTAGGTATGAACTCCTGAGAGCTATTAGCAGTGCAAAGAGACAATACAGAGACAAAGTGTAGTCTGACTTCAAAGGCTGTAACACCCGGAACATGTGGGCGGGACTAAGAACAATGACAGAATACAAAGGGGCAGCAGGGGGGTGCTGCTGGGCTGTCTGCGTGCGCATCTCTCCCAGATGAGCTTTTTTTGCAAAATTCGGGAGCAGCCAGGTTGTGGAGGCACAGAAAGATCAGGAGCCAGAGCCCTGCCCTTTTGTTTTAGACAGGGCAGATGTGTGCAAATCCTTTAAAAGGGTTAATCCACACAAGGCTCCTGGACCTGATGGCATCCCTGGCCGTGTTCTCAGGGTGTGTGCAGATCAGCTGGCAGAGGTGTTCACAGACATCTTCAACAGGTCCCTGCTGCAGTCTGTAGTCCCCACATGCTTTAAACACTCCACCATCGTTCCTGTCCCCAAAAAGTCAAAAATCACCAGCCTCAATGATTACCGCCCAGTAGCACTCACCTCCATCATAATGAAGTGCTTTGAGCGGTTAGTCAAAACCTTCATCACCTCCTCCCTCCCTGACTCTCTGGACCCCCTGCAGTTTGCCTACAGAACAAACAGGTCCACAGACGACATCTTGGTGCCAGGATAACAACTTCCATCTCAACGTCAGCAAAACAAAGGAGCTGATTGTGGATTACAGGAAGCAGCAGGGAGAGGGACACGCCCCCATCGCCATCAATGGGACTACGGTGGAGAGAGTCAGCAGCTTCAGGTTCCTTGGGGTCCACATCACTGAGGACCTGACATGGACTCATCACACAAACACCATCACCAAAACAGCTCGACAGAGGCTCTTCTTCCTCCGCAGGCTGAGGAGGTTCAACATGGACTCCAGGATGCTCTGCAACTTTTACAGGTGCACCATAGAGAGTATCCTGACTGGCTGCATCACGGCCTGGTACGGCAGCTGCACCGCCCTCAATCGTAAGACTCTACAGAGGGTGGTGAAAACTGCACAGAACATCACCAGGACGGAGCTGCCATCCATGGCCATCTTTGCTCCCAGCGGCTCAGGAAGAAAGCCCTCAGGATTATCAAAGACCCCCATCACCCCAGCAACAAACTGTTCTGTCTGCTGCCGTCTGGCAGGCGGTACCGCAGCATCAGGACTAAAACCACCAGACTCTGGGACAGTTTCATCCCACAGGCCATAAGACTGTTAAACACCTGAACTTTTGAAAGAACATCCATAACATTCATCTCTTTGCAACTCACATATATCATATATACCAATATTCCAATTACTGTACTATTCTGCACAGTTTCTATCATATTCTGTTTCTGTTATATTCTATTTTATTTTATTTACTTGTACTATTTTATCTGTTTATTGTGTTGCACTGTTGGAGGAGCCTGTGACCTAAGATTTTCATTGTCATATCTACACCGTAGCTATGCACACATGACAATAAAAGCCTTGAAACTTGAAAAGACTCAGTGTTGACTATTGAAATTGTGTTGTGTTATTTGGGCTTCAGCATGTTGCCCAAAGACACTTGGACATGTTTTCCGGGGATCAACCCGCCGACCTTTCAAGTCAGTGGACAACTACTTTACATCCTGAGCCACAGCCACCCCTTCTTTGTCATCGACTGTGACGGAGAAGGAGGGGGATCTGGATCACACACAGTTACCCAGTAGCACGACAGATCCAGCTTGAAATTCTCAGTATTCTCAGTTCTCTGTTTTTAAAAGAGGTGTATTAACAATTACAATTGATACTTAATTGTCATGGTAATGAGATACTGTCTACGATCGGATACACATTCATTCACAACTTAATCCAACATATCAGATATGATCTGCTTTTTTATTTTTGCTTTGTTCCTGACACATAGCAACTAAAAGTACTCTACATCTTAGTCACAGTAAGTGTGAGTGTGTAACAGCTGCGAGGCTCCGGTCGGTTGGCAGGAGGAATGGCAGGCAACACTCTCACCTCAGGAAATCATTCCAAACACACTGGACAACCTCACTTGGAGCCAACTGGTTCTGTAAAACACACACACACACACACACACACACACACACACACACACACACACACACACACACACACACACACACACACACACACACACACACACACACACACACACACACACACACACACACACACACACACACACACACACACACACACACACACACACACACACACACACACACACACACACACACACACTGCTGTTCCTCTCCATCTGTCTGCAGAAACACTCTGTCCGTCTGGGGGTAAACTCTGGGTCAAGGCCCAGTTTCAGGGTGGGGCTATCACATAGAGGTTTAACAGGCTGTGATGGTCCACTGGGAGACAGATCACATCAGCAGAATGTTTGGCAGAAATAATGTGAAAATGTATTGAGTACATCAACACAACAGTACTTCCCATATCAACACTGCAGTCTGCTGAAGTGCTTTTATCCTGTAAAGAATGTCTGCTATGATCTTTTTATATTGCAAAATACTTTGACCCTTTAAGTGTTGTTATGAAGTCAACTTTGTTTAAAATCAAAGACCGTATGAAAAGTTAGCCTTTTAATGTTTGACATTTAATTACTGCTTGAGGTCCAATCTTAAGCCCTCTCAAACACATTTGTGATTTTTAGCTCCCTGAATAAATAGGACCCATTGATCCATTCCCTCATTAAGAGTGCTGTTAGTCCGAAGAACACAATCCAACCCTAGCCCACCACCTGCAATCTCTCATGACTGATAGTGTTTGCTTCCTCACCTCCGCTTCCAAACTGGACTGTCCTCTTTCTGCAGTTAATCTAGAAAAACCTAGAAAACGTAATGTCCTCCCTCTTTTCCTGTAAAAGATTGGATGTGTTAACGCTTATGGTAAACAAATATATGTTTTTATTAAGGGACGCTTCTTTTTGCTCTTCGTCTCACCAATTAATCTCTTCTACTTAATTTGTCCCCCATCACTCCGTCCCTCCTAGTGTGTGGTAAATCTCATCAGTGATCTTCAAGAGCAGATGTGCAGGTTTCAGGAAGAGATCAGCACTCGTATTCAGGAGAAACGGGCACTGGAGGAGAGGGAGGCCCAGCAGGGGGAACCCAGAGGCAGCGACCCCCCGGGCCACAGCCTGGGGGCCGGGTCAGTCAGCTCAGACCTGAGCCTGGCTGCCTCCGACCCCCTGAGGCCCGATGGAGGACAGAATGTACACGTAGGGAGACATAATGGCTGAACTTATCTTTCACTCCTTCCCCACCATTTCTTCTCTTCCTCCCTTCTCACTTTAACCGGTCCACCCACCACGCGGTATTGGACATTTCCACTGAATCAAACTAACACCGCTCTTGTAGTTTCTTTGCAGAATGTCTGTGTGTGCGCTACAAGATGCTTGGGTCACTCTCTACTCTGGTTTTTGCAGACATGGATACTTTGATTGGTTTTCCAAATACTTCCATACATCTGAGGAGTTATTAAGGTTGTTGAATGAGTCAGTAACACCATAGGGAAACCTAGTAAGTAATGTGAGTGACCTACTGTAATGGTTGCATGAATATAAGAGGGCAATAGTTATTGAGAAACTTGCAGCTTTCTCCGCTCAACTCCTCAAGCATTTGAAGCATTTGGAAAAACACATTTCAACCACTGGCTGGTAGGGCCTTGGACCAGGCATTGTGTTATTATCTGATTTGATGTGGTTTGCTTGCATGACAGTGGTTACTTTCTCTACTAACCAAGTTGACATCTGTCCATTTCCTCCTACAATGACCAGGTGGATGGGTCATGTTACTGTACATGTAATTTAACAGTATGTTTTGGTGTGCAGGCTCGACAGCTTTAGTCTTGTTCTGCTTCCTCAGGTGTATCCTTCTCCTGTTTGCTGCACGTTGAGGTATCTTTTTCAGGAGGATGATGTTTTTATCTATTAACCATTTCAGTTCAGTCCTAGGGACCTCTATAACCACACTGATTGTCACCTGATGTTTGCATTTCCTCCCTTGTTGGCTTGTGGACAGTTCAGAAGTGTTTTTGATTTAGATGTAATTCATTTTCTATTTATATAAAACATTTATTATTTCAAAAATAATTGTTGAAGGTAGATCTGCATGACTGATAAAACTGCTGAATCTGGATTTGAATAAAATATATGGAGTAAACAATGCTGTGTTTTATTTTTTCTACAGGATTTGCTTCAAGAGGTAAAGCAGCTGAAGAGAAAAGTGGAGGATTTGCAGGGCGAGAAGGGCCAGTATGAGAGAAAACTCAGAGCCACAAAGGTACATTTTAAACCAACATGTAAAACCAAATCCTCACATCTTTATGATCAGCCAGGTGTTACACATACAGTATATACATATAGGTTATATGTTTTAGTACCTTTCCCTGTATGTAATGTGGAACTGTTACTGTAAGTATCAAGGTCACAGTCGAGCAGCATCATTTCATTCTCAATTTTTCCACAAGAACACCTGACATAGATATTTTTGGTAAACCTGAAGTCTCTACTGTAATTGATGAGGTGAACTTAGTTTGGTTGCACTCCAATGCTTTATAACTGTGAACCAATAGCGTTTAAGGGGTAATTATCCCTAAACACATTGTTTGTTGTTGCAAATTGCAAACTGCCAGTGCTTCCTTCCTCCTCTCCTTTCTTCTTCTGTATCTGTATCTATGAACCCCTCTCTGCAGCTCTTTCTCTTCACTCTCCTTTTTATTCTCCTCATCTCTTCTCATCTGTCACATCCTCTTCCTGTGTCTCTGCTCTGTCAAGCTCTATCTCTTACTCTCTTCATGTGTGTTACCAGTCGCTCATGAGCCAGCTGTCCAGTCTGCAGCTGAAAGTGGAGCACATGCAGCTGGAGAAGCAGCAGTGGGAGGAGAGCTGCCACAGTGCACAGGTGCCCCCTCTTCCTCCTGTTCTGCTGCTCGTCTTCTTGCTCCTATTTGTTCCTTTCCTCTGATATTTAGTGTGATGCTATTCAAATCATTTCAAAGATTTCAGGAGCAAAATGAGTCCGGCCTGCTCGATTGCCTTCATCATATTGAACTGGCCCACCGTTCTGGCCCAATAGTGATCTGAGTGACAGAAAGTCCGCCAAGCTTCCCAATAGACGTCCACATTTTACACACAAAGTAATTCTTTTGATAGGTGCCATAGTTTTTGAACAGGAGGCAAAATGGTCAGAGATAAACCTCAATGCATTCTGAATGAGCCTCCCTCTGCTGCTGCAGGTGACCATGGTAACCTAGTTACTGGGCAGATTGGGGTAGACACAGCTGAGTGACATCATCTAATCAATAAATATACTTATTTGTTATTTTTTATTATCCTTATATATTTATTTTCTTGACCTACTTATTATTTTTTTAGATTGTTTATGTTCGCACCACCAGATACCAAAGCAAATTCCTTGTATATGTAGACGTACCTGGCAATAAACTAATCCCCTGTATATTCTTGTATATGTATTCTTACAGGAAGCGCAGGCAGAGGGATGTTATTTCAAAATAAAAGCCCTAGAATAGAATTGGAGAACCGGAGGGATGAAACCCTCTTTAAGGGTCACACATGCAGAGCACACAGTGAAATGTGGCCTCTGCATTTAACCCAACCTAGTACTAGGAGCAGTGGGCAGCTATTGTACAGCGCCCGGGGAGCAGTGGGGGAACCATGGCAGGGCCCAGGAGGTGAACTGGGACCTCTCCAAGTACCAGTCCACATTCCATAGTTCGGGGACTTGAACCAGCGACCCTAAGGCTCCCAGTCCAAGCCCCTACTGACTGAGCCACTGCCGGACTTGTTGTATCCCAACAAGACGCACAGGATAGGGATTTTTTTTCTAGATAAAAGCCCCCCCACACACACACACATACACTTTGGCTTAAATGTGGCTAGGACCATAACAATGGTAAACTAAATCTGAAAATTCTTGACCTCAAGATGGCAAGAATCTTCTTGGCAAGATTTAAAAGGTCCTATGTCATGGCCATTTCTACTGATCATAATTCCATTGTTGAGGTATACTAAAATGGATTTATACTGTGCATTTTTCCAAACTCACATTGGTTTCTCATACAGCATCTCTGTATAGTATGTGTATTCACTCTCTGTGCTAAACGGCTTGTTGGAGCTCCTGACCCCCCCCCTGTGAGCCCAGTGGCCGTCTGCGAGACAGCGAGACACCGCGAAACTCAGCCTGGGCACACACACACACCCGCAGCCTGGCTGGGAGTTTGTGTGTGCCCAGACTGAGTTCCGCGGTGTCTCGCTGTGTCGCCGACACCACACCAGTGAGCCGGCTCACAGTGTCCCGCTCCTCGCAGCAGCGAGCCTCGCAACGTCCCGCCGAGTGTGTGTGTGTGAGGAAGTCCTTGGATTGGTCCAAACGTAACGGCTCCACGGACGTAACGTAACGGCTCCGCGGTTGGTCAATTTGGACCAATCTGTGGAGCCGTTACGTTACGTTACGTCACTATACCCGAAATACGTCACTATACCCAAGAAGTAAACAATGGAGAAAGAGAAATCCCCAACGAGGCGTTCTGGGGCAGCATAGACAGGTCTTTTCTGTGTTAGAGTTTTAATCGCTACAGGGTGTACTTTGAGGGGTTGTGACTCTGCAGACCGTTTACATGCAGAAAAAGCTACATAACACACAAGGGGACGGGTAATAACCAGAAAAGCATGACATGGGACCTTTAAGGTAAAGGTTATAAAATAATAATACAAATCTATTTTCTTGCAAAATAAAGCCTGGTGTGAATGTGCTGAAATGGGGATTTTAGCACATGGTTTGGAAAGTCCTATCTGAGCTTTCAGAGTTCTAGCCCTACCTTGATTGAATATGGAATCATTCAGTACCTGGTTTGTTGTCCCATTGTGTAGTAGTGGGTTTTGAGGAGATGCATATACATTATTAACCATGCTTTGAAATTAAATCAGCCCAAAGATTTGACAAATCCATCCCATTTTATTCTACTTGACTCGATGTGGCTCTCACATAAATGACATCAACCTGTAAATGGAACCTGAAATACTACTACAGTTCACATACGTGTACTCTTTCTCCACAGGCCGACATATCAGAGCTGCAGCAACTCCTGGCCTCCAAAGACGCTGAGATCGAATGTCTGCAGACACAACTGATGGCAAGAGGCGGCACAGCTGACGAAAACACAGAGAGAGGTACACAGCTGACTGACCAATCACATTTGTCAGCCACATTACTGAATCATCTAATCAACATGTCTCTCTTTCTTATGCTTGACTTGTATCTGACTCTTTGCTGACACCTACTGTAGAGGAGGAGTATATCAAGCAGCTGATAAACAAATGTAAGGCATGGTGTGCTGTTTTAACTGGTCTCATTTTCAACCTGCTCTGCTTATAAGCCATGTAACAACCATTTTGTCACGATATGTTAGTTGGTTACATATAATTATTCAGTATAATGTTGTTGATCGTTTTTGTGATATCAGTTCAAATCTAAACAAATCCAGGACATAAGCATGTTTAAGCCTTTTAGCCTCATAATTAGGTTTATGGTGGTGGAGTGTTTGGTTTCATTTTGTGTTGGTTGTAGTAAACTTTCCTGTTTCATTCAACCAATGTCGATAAGTCTCTCAATCCTTTCAAACCGGTCTGGTTAACATGATTTTCCAAGAGTTTCTATGAGTGTTGAGTAGTGCAACATGGAATGAATAAATACATTGTCCCACTTATACAATGGCTACTCTCCAGAAAGTGGCATATTTTAAATCAAATTATTAAGGCTTTACCAGACTAATCCTGACTAATTGTGAATTTAGGAGACTATAGAAAAGCTCTGCATATTTAGCTGAGGTGACATTACAGAGTGCTGTCAATCTCTCTCGCTCTGGCAGAACCATACACAAGCCCCATTGTTGCTGTCTGCAAAAAGGTTTATATGTTTTACCACAATGCCATCAATTGCATCTTTTATCTTTTACCTCCTCATAATTGCTGTAGCTGTAGGTTTGGTGTTTGTTCTTAATTTGTATCCCAAGATTCATCTTCAAAGCTCCTTCAAAGCTATAGTGTAAGATTGTTGTAGTTCCTTTTTAAGATGTGTTTTTGCATGTGAAAGGATATGAAATGGCATGTGGTTTGTCTGTGTGTGTGTTTTGTGACAATATTTTAAGAGCTTATGTTGTGTAGATATTTCCTTTAGGAATCCACAGGATTACTCAGGTTGTTGGTATTTGCATTGAAGCAATACACAGCAACAATTCTATCACTGTGAAAATGTGCAGTGTGTGTGTCACAGGTGATTGTGTGTGGCCAGTCGTGCTGTCACTATGCATTTGTTTTGCTTGTTTATTCACATTAGCATGGCAGTCATGTCTGTTGCCAACATCCGACAGGCTCCCATCAGATGCCCTAAATTACAGAGACTTGTGCTTACTGCGAGTCCCAAAATATAATTTTCACCCCTCCTTTTTTGCTTTGTTAGACCAAGAATACCAGAGGCTGAAGATTGGGATGGAGTCTTTGTTAGCTTCAAATGATGAAAAGGTAAATGAAACTGGGTTTACCACTATTGCCATGACGAATATTTCTTTAATGTTCAGTTTGAAAGTTATTTTGAAGAAAAATAATTAGTCCCCTTATTTTACTTGATTTATATATGTCTGTATTGCTGGTAACAGGAGCGACGTATAGAGGAGCTGACCATTCTGCTTGGCCAATACAGAAAGATGAGGGAAGTCATGGCACTCACACAGGGTAAGCATTACATCATTTTCTCTTATGCAATATGAGGTTTGGATGAAGTACAATGTAAGATACAGGTTTTCTTTCCACCTTCCTAGTTTTTGCAAGTGTTTTTTGATGTATCAAGTTTGTGTTTAACCAGGGAGTAGTGATGAGGATCTGAGTGGCTGTTCAGGAGTCAGAGCCTTCACACATAAAGCACACTCTGATATTGTCAGATCAGAGGTAAGATGATCAAGTATACACTTTTTTCCAACCTACATTCAATGCACTTTGCATATCATCCTACAGGATTCATGTCCTGTAAAATGGCTTTCTCAAAATGGACCCCCCTACACATTTACAAAAGTAAATGAACTAAATTGTGTTTTGCCTTTGCATAGATGTCATCGCTGTCATCTTCTCCATTTGTGCTATCTTCTTCCCCCTACCAGAGAGGATTTGATTCTAGGTATAAACACTCAAAATACACATGCAGCAAACATCTCACAAGTTGCTTATCCATTTCAGTGTTTTACCTAGCGTAGATGGCGGTCAGCACTCCACTAATTAAGAGAAACAGACAGCTAGAGCACAGGAGCTCAGCAATGTACTGCTGTGGACGAAACGTGTCTCACTTATAAAAGGAGTGGCTGTGGCTTGGAATCAGAGGGTCAGTGATCCCCAGTCCCAGATCTTTGGGCAAGATACTAAACCTCTAATTGCTCCTGTAGGTATTGAAAGTGTTTGTTGCTTTGCATAAAAGGGACAGCTAAATGACATGTAATGTTGTTTAAAAGGAAAAGGTCCTTCTAAAAAAGTTCAAGTGTACACATATTTAAACAATTTTCACTGCTTTACCTCACCATCACACAGCCCTGATGGGGAACTGCAGCCTTGTTGTGGGACTGAAAAGGCTGTTTGATGTCAAGGACAAGCAGTGAAAACATTCTAAATATATCGTCCTCCTAAATCAAGGGGGGCCTTTTCCAGCCACCCATATCTAGTTTCAATCACTCTGCTGGAGGTGATACACTAAAGAACTACACATTTGAAAACATCCAAACTATCCCTTTAATCTGAACCTTTGTGTGCCATTTGTTGTAGTATCCATGACTCTATGGACACATCACTGGTGTCCACTGGGGAAACAAGCTTTTGTAATGGGTCATGGTGAGTAGAAGCTTTTTATGTTAGTTTATTTAACAGTGCAGACTTGTTTGCTTTCAATGGACTCAAAGTCTAGACAGTCATCATAATATATGAAATCATAAGTTATATGGTGGCATCCATTTATTATTTTCTAACTTTCAAGGCATCAACGCAGGTTGCTTTCCAGCAGTCTTGAAGAATTGCAGAGTGGATCATTACAAAAGGTTGGTTTATATATATACACATTTCAGTGTTTCCCCTACCATTGTCTTGGAGGGGCGCTGCGCCCCCCCCCTGAAATTCAAGGTGTTTAAAAAAAAAAAAAGCGGTTTTACGCAAATTACATTTGTTTATCCTTCTGTCAGCATTTATTTATTTTGAGACTGATCTGAGCCAATATTTGACTATACACACACACAGAAAGGGCCAATCCCCACTTGAAGTGACAGTTGTGCTCGGTATCATGGCTGCCTCCCAGATGTTTCCATGTAACAAATCAAAGGCTTTAACTCTCTGTTATCTTTAAATGAGACTGCCCAGCCTTTATGGAAATATAAAGGGGGATATCTCAAATCAGTCAGGTTCAATACATATCCCATAGCTGAAGCAGATCAATACCAGAATAACATTTTCTCTTTGTTTTCGAAGCAGGGATCAGTGAATTGGGAGATCTTGCATGAAAGACTAGTTCACTTCTGTTGCTATACTTTCACAGACATTTGGGTCATTTCTTTGAAATGTGGTTCTAGACCAGACAAATAACTGGTTTTGTTATATATTCTCTAGAATCCTCACATGGAGCTGAGCAAGTACCAGACTCTGCCGGGGAAACTCATGATAAATAAGAGAGAGCAGAGAGCCAGGAAGCATGGCGACAGAGAGGGAGAAGAAGAGTATTTGTCTCCTGTCCACTGCCTCCAGCAGGAGGACTACGGTCTCAGTGAGTTTCTCCATTCATCACTAATACATCTTTAAATCATACCATTTTTTGTCTACTGCCTGTCACAATTTGGAAAATTCAGTATTTTCTACTTCTGAAAAAAGAAAATGTTTGTGGGGACATATCTCCCCCTTAACCTCAGTGGTATTTTCATTTGGTGGTTTTAATTGCACTGCAAGAAAGTTACCAAAATTGAGGCAAAGTCAAATTAGTATGTAGTTCTTATGAAAAATTATGTTTGAAAAACAGCAACTTTTCAGAAAACAACAAGCTTTTAAAAAAAATATATAAGTGTCTTTATTGGAGGTGCTGGCACGGACGTAGGACAAGAGGTGGAGCTGAGATTGGCAGAGTTGAAGCTGCTAAGATATGAGCATGCAGATATACCACACTATACCATATGGTTTTCCTGTTTTCTCTTACTAATGTAAGAGAAAACAGGAAAACCATATGGTATAGTGTGGTTTGAACTCTAGGGTCATTGTTCTTTTTTGTGTTTTTGTCTGGCAGATCAACCAGAAAAACTGAAGGAGTGTGTTCTGTCAGATCAGTCCCCCCTTTCCTTTGGAGTGGACTCTGGACAGCAATCTCCTGTCTCACCAGAGAACAGGAAGAGTCAGAGAGGCATTAGGAAACTCTGGGGGAAGTATGTTTCAAAGACTTCTCTGTTAGATATATACACACATACAGTCTACATACAGACACCACACACAGATGTGACGTTCAGGGATATATTTCCCCTAAAACAAAGTGTTTCTGTTGTCCCCAGGATACGTCACAGCCAATCAGGCAGTCCTGCCCAGGGTCACGACCACGAGCTGGGAGAGCTCAAGAGGGGGGGTTTCCGAGCTACAGCTGGACCAAGACTGGCCCGTTCAGGGAACCCACGGTATATAACACATTTATACTTGCATACAGTAAATAGATTTGTTTTCATGGATCCCTGAGAAGCAAGTAAAAAACAAATAAGGCTGATCCATTGTGTATGTTTGGAAGGAGGTACACACGTTTAACAAGCCTGTTAAACAGAGCCAGGGTTTCTTTGACTTAGCTGGCTTGCCAAAATAAAACCCCTGATTAAAGTAATGGGTACTGCAAAGGTGGTTGTTACAGTAGGTCTCTCTGTTTACCCAGATTCCTTCCTGAGCCTCCATGCATGTTCTCATAAATAATTGGTGCGTCACCTGCCACTTCTACAGCATGAAAAACGATCAATGACCACTGAGTTATGCCTTGTTACAATATTGAACAAAAATGTACTGCAATTAAGAAAGGAATACTGGAACAAATGTAGTATTCCTGTAAAAGTTATTTATTTGAAGTACACTCGATGCAATCTGTGCCTCCAATTTAATTCTAACTTGACAATTGCACATTCTGCAGTTCTTAAACTTTAAACTTGATGCAGCAGATTTAAATGTTATACTCAAGAACTGCATTTGGGTCTAACACTTGAATCAATTTGTTATTATTATTTGGGATATGTACCAACAGACTGAGAATCTGTTAAAGTTGCATTATACAAGCAGTTTAAAAACACACTTTAGCAAATCAGTCACAAAAACAACCAAAGTGGTGAAATCAGGGTTTGAAGGAATTTGACCGCACTTCATATGCAAGTAAACATCATACTGATGAAAAATATAGCACATTATTGATGTATGCTCCATGCAAATTTGTAGGATATTTTTTTTGAGAGCCAATGTGGAGAAATACACAGAGAAGACTATTATACTGTATAATAAAACTAAATACACACTTAGTAGGGGGAGGAAAAAGTGAAAAAAGTATGTACAATGTAACTTCCTTTAAAATAACAATAACATAAAACAGTACGCTTGATCAGATTTTCTGCATCACTGATAGGGTAGTCATTCTCTAAAACCAACAAGAATTCGGCCAGTTAGAATTTTTTTATTAAGTGTGATTTGTTGGCATATTTGTTTTACTTTTTCAGCCGGTATACAAACAAAACACCTCAGACAGTTTTAATCTGTCAGTTTCAAATTTGGTCAGTGCCTTCTAAAGACCTTGAGGATGAAAAGTTATGAACCTGTTAAGCCCCATAGCCCTCCAATAAGGCTCCATGTTCACATAGCGTCTTCTTCTGACCGCCGGGGTCTTTTCTCCACACTCGCCTTTTTTGCAGCACATCCAATTGAAAATATTTTTACTTTTTCTTTACGTGTCTGTAAGTAGTCCTTCATAACAAAGAGCAAAAAGCCACTTTGATCGAGCAGATCATCCGGACAGACACTGGATGTTGCTCCCGGTGAGTGTGTGAATTTGATCTCCCTGCATCACTGTCCTGGTGCTGTCAAACCGAGCAGTGAACTCATTCAGACAAAGTGTGAGAGCAAGCATATTCCGGTAGGTGTTCATGGTGAAAAAGTCGAGGGGGCACAGCTAATCTGTCATACAACAGCAGTGATATTGTCTAGATATGTTTGATGAAATCCCGGGCTTAGGCTCTGCCCGCTTTTCTTTCAAATGTTTATCACTCTAAGACTTCAGGGGAGCACTGGAAGGCTCTACTCTCAATGTTTGGGATGTTCCTCTTAATGTTTCATAAAGTGAGCACTCCGCTACACACTCCATTGTGGGGTTTTTTTTTGGAACAGAAAACGGCTAATATTAGCTTGAGTCCTACACTTTAAAACTGTATGTGGCTCCAGGTCCATTAGTCTAATCTTTAAACATGATTCTCTGTTCTCTGTTGATCTTTTTTTTCTTTTTTCCATATCAGAGATCTGAAGATGCCTTTTTGTAAGTGGAGCAAAGAGCAGGTGTGTGACTGGCTGGAGGAAATTGGACTCGGTCAGTATGGCGTCCTCGCTTGCCATTGGGTCACCAGTGGTGATACTCTACTGTCTGCCACCATGCAAGACATAGAGAAGGTACACTGACAGACACACACACATGCAGACCAACTACTGTATATGCTGCATTTTTCATAATTAATGCATCTGTCTGGATCTGTTGGTCTACCTCACAAATAATCTTCCATTCAGCCTGTCAAATCTGTTTCGCTCCTACCTGGCTGATCCATGATGCTTACTGCCTTTATCACGTTCAGATTGCTCACCTTAGACCCCCAGCCTCTGTTTCTATGTCACCAGGATCATAATTAGTTCATTCACTCTGTCAGGATTCGGGATTATTAGGACTCAAATGCAGTTTGAGGAGAAGCGGGATTCAGAGTGTAACAAAAGGCGAGCTTTAATTACAAAACTGGAACTGGTGGTGGACTTCAGACGGCGCCAACACTCCCCCCCGACACCAGTGAACATCCAGGGAGCGGACATTGAGATTGTGGAATCTTACAAATACCTGGGTGTTCAACTGAACAATAAACTGGACTGGACTGATCATTCTGCTGCTCTGTCCAAGAAGGGACAGAGCAGACTGTACCTGCTGAGGAGACTGAGGTCTTTTGGGGTGAGGGGGCCCTCCTGCAGACCTTCTATGACTCTGTGGTGGTCTCACCCATCTTCTATGGTGTGGCCTGCTGGGGCAGCAGCATCTCTGCTGCTGACAGGAAGAGACTGAACAGACTGGTAAGGAAGGCCAGCTCTGTCCTGGGGAGTCCTCTGGACACTGTGGAGGTGGTGGGAGACAGGAGTCCTCTGGACACTGTGGAGGTGGTGGGAGACAGGAGTCCTCTGGACACTGTGGAGGTGGTGGGAGACAGGAGAGTGGCAGCCAAGCTGTCCTCCCTGCTGGACAATGTGCCCCCCCCCATCCAGGACACCCTGTCCTCACTGTACAGCTCCTTCAGCGACAGGCTGCTGCACCCCACCTGTCTCACGGAGAGATACCGCAGGTCCTTCCTTCCTGCAGCGGTCAGACTATACAACCAGCACAGCCCCGGAACTGGAGCCGGAACTGGAGCCGGAACCATGGCTGCGTGGGCCGGACCTAGAGCCGGAACCATGGCTGCGTGGGCCGGACCTAGAGCCGGAACCATGGCTGCGTGGGCCGGAACTGGAGCCGGAACCATGGCTGCGTGGGCCGGACCTAGAGCCGGAACCATGGCTGCGTGGGCCGGAACTGGAGCCGGAACCATGGCTGCTGGAGCCAGAACTGGGGCTGCTGGAGCCCGGGCTGGAATCCTGGCCTTGCATTTCCCAGAAACCTCCCGGAGGATCCGCGGACCTCCCAAGGCCAGGCCAGACCCCAGGAAAGGGTTAGAGGTTTGAGACAAGCTTTCAGGGCTGCTTGTAAAAGTTTTAAGCCACTCAGGCAATGAGCTCCTGAGCCAGGGCTTGCGAGCAACCTCCTGGCGTGCCTCCTTCAAGGCAGCCTCTTTAGCCTGTCTAGATGAGGGTCCCAACCAAGTATAACAAAGTGTACTCTATAGCAGGGGTGCCCAACCAGTCGAGCGAGATGTGTCTAAAAATAGAACAACAATATTCTGTTTTATCGTTAATGTCCTATAACATAATCTTCCTGTGCCAGAATAATGCACTTGAACGCATCAAAGCTTTGTGATTGGCCGGCGTGACCCCATGTGTCGGGGCGTGGCTGGTGGGCAGTGGGCACTAGTTAGCTGACGTTGTCCGTGGCAACAGGAGTGACAGTCTGCACACACACAAGACCGCAATTATGGCAGAAGCAAAAAAGCCCAAAATATATAATTTTCACTCTGAGTGGGGAGGATGATTATTTTTGTATCTATTCCAATTCCAAGTCCATCTGTCTCATCTGCAATGCGAGCGTGGCTTTACCGAAGAAGGGTAATTTAGGAGCGGCATTTCAATACACAGTGCACAAACGCTACGAGACGGAATTCCCTCCTAATTCTGCCCTACGCTCCCAAAAGGTGAGGGACCTGAAAGGACAGCTAAATGCACATCAGTCCATTTTCACCAGGCCCAACAACAAGAGCAAGGCTGCTACCATAGCATCTTATCGTGTCAGTCACGTTCTTGCAAAACACATGAAGTCTTTCAAAGACGGCGAAGTTGTGAAAGAAGCATTCCTGGAGGCTGCCGACGCGCTTTTTGGGGACAGTAAAAATAACAGTAGCATTTCAACAGGTTTGTGATATAATAAAAACTCAAGTTAGATACCGTTATTAATCAGCTGTAAGTTTTAGTTTGTTTGAACTTATTCATTATAATGATTGTACAAAATGGTATAAGAATGCAAACTTAAATTGATTATAGTCTATTATCAATTCAGGTTAAGAAACTAGTGTTGCTTGCATCCTATTTTAAAGGCATTTCTTTTTATACTCTGCAAAAATGCAACAATAAAAGGGTTTGATTCTATTAATTTAGTCTTTTTTATTGCACTTTGGCAGCAGATTCCTGTGTAGCTTCAGATCCGAGTTGTCTTATTAGTAAACCTAATTTATACTTTTGGAGCAACACTATTTTTATATAATGGCAAAGAAAGGGTTCAGAGTCTTTTCTTTTTTCCCTGTGTCATATGTGGCAGCACTGTTCAATGTTTCTTGAAAACATTACCCACTGTAGTTTGTGACGTGTGAATAAACTCCCACTCTGTATCAACAACACTGTTGTGTAACTTCAGTTAAATACTTGTATGTGTGTAGATTAGAAAGAGGTAAGATAAAGGATCTGCAGTATTTTATGAAGTATTAATCGTACAAAGGTCAGTTTTATACAAGTAGAAGTGTGTATTTACCTGGTAGTAGGCTGTCAGTAATGGCTACGCCTCTCTATTTGGACTGGTAGATCTCGGCAGACTGGCAACTTTAAAAGTAGCTCTCGGTTCAAAAAAGGTTGGGCTCCCCTGCTCTAGAGAGTACTTGAGATGATCCGCCTGTTGAGCCAACGAAAAAGAAACTGCTGAGTCCATAATTGGTCGGTTCGTTCTGTCAGGATTCAGGATTATTAGGACTCAAATGCAGTTTGAGGAGAAGCGGGATTCAGAGTGTAACAAAAGGCGAGCTTTAATTACAAAAAGCTGTTGAAAATGAAAAACAAAACAAAAACCATGAATCTATAAACAGGTAGCACGAGGTAGCATCCAGACAAAACCCGATAGTGACAAACATAGAGGGTGACAGGAAAGACAACGAACCGACATGGAGCACAGGGGAAGACTAAATACACAGAAGGGTAATCACAGGACAAGACACAGCTGGGCAGGGGAGGCAGAAACACAAGGGCAACAGGTGAACACAATCAGACAATCAGACACAGGAAGGCAAACACAGGAAGGAAGACCAGACACAGGGAGAACAGAATTTCAAAATAAAACCATAACTAGACAGACAAAACTAAAATCGTGACACTCTCATTTTTTTTTCTTTATCAGGTGAATCTTTTGGATTTCAGCAGTGGTAGAATGTAACTAAGTGCATTTACTCAAGTACTGTACTTAAGCATATCTTTAAAATACTAGTATTTTACTTGAGTATTTCCATTTTATTTTCTCTGCTACATTTCAGTGGCAAACATTGTACTTTTACTCCACTACATGTATTTAGTTTTTATATATAAAGAACACATTTTTATGTTTTATGATGTGATGCATTCCTGTAATACTTAAGTGTCAAAATTGGCTCACATTGATAGCATTAACAGCTGGTTTCTGTCAACAGACTCAATGCGACTCTAAATGACTCTGAAGCAGGCTGCTGTGTCTGTTAATGCTTTGGCTGGTCTTGTTCTGACTGTGATTGGGTTATGATTGTGATTGTGTTCAGTTATCTTGGGCCAGGACTCTCTTAGAAAATAGATTTGTATCTCAATGAGACCTCTCCTGGTAAAGTAAAGGTAAAATAAAGAATAAAAAAAACACAATAATAAATGATTAATAATGAATATTCAATGATTGAAAATTACGAAGTACCTTTTCTCAAGTGTCCTACTTAAGTACAATTTTGAGGTAGTTGTACTTTTACTGGGTATTTTTATTTTATGCTACATTATACTCCATCTCATCTTTGCTTGAATTACTTTACATATTCAGAATATTAGCTAACACAAAATATGAATCATCTGTTAAACAAACATTGACATATAATAATCTTTAAAATATCCAGCAGCAGTATATAAAGTTATTTTAAAAAGCTCGAACTACTTGGTACTTTAAGTATATTTTGATGCTGATACTTGTGTACTTTTACTTAAGTAAGATTTTGAATGCAGGACTTTTTCTTGGAACAGAATATTTAAACAATTTAGTATTGCTACTTTTAAGTATCTCTCAAAAGGTGAAGACATTGTTTCCGTCACTGTGTCTCCAGGAGCCGGCGATAAAGAATCCGCTCCACAGGAAAAAGCTCCAATTGGCCATCAAGACGATCAGCAGCAAACAGCCTGATAAGTCTGCAGAGCTCGATTACATCTGGGTCACTCGTAAGCACTTACAACACACACTCATAATAAAACATTCATCTGAAGTTGCCTTACATTAAAACGGAATATGTTATGTTTCAAAGGTTGGCTTGATGACATCGGACTCCCTCAATACAAAGACCAGTTTAATGAAGGAAGAGTTGATGGGCAGATGCTGCAGTTCCTCACTGTGGTATGTTTTTCAATATTCATCAAATGTTTGATCTAATAACAGCTGATTGGCACATTGCTTTAAAGGTAAACCAGGATTCATCAAATTCTGGTTTATTTTCTGGATAACATAAGGATTTGAAACACATGTTTGCGTTATGGATTAAAGTTGACATACCAGTAACTTTTATACTGAGACTAAATACTTTGTCTGTTTTCTTTGTTGTACTTCTTCTTTTCTTTTCAGAATGAATTGTTATTCCTTAAAGTGACCAGCCAGCTGCATCACCTCAGCCTCAAGAGTGCCATTCATGTTCTTCATGTCAACAAGTTCAATTCCAACTGCCTCAAACGCAGACCCAGCCATCAGGTAGGTGTGTTTGCTGCGTGAGAGTCGTGTTGTTTGGAAACAACACGACTCTGGCTGTCAATCAAGGCTTTAGACTTTTATTAAGTTGTGTGTGTGTGTGTGTGTGTGTGTGTGTGTGTGTGTGTGTGTGTGTGTGTGTGTGTGTGTGTGTGTGTGTGTGTGTGTGTGTGTGTGTGTGTGTGTGTGTGTGTGTGTGTGGTGTGTGTGTGTGTGTGTGTGTGTGTGTGTGTGTGTGTTTTACAGAACCAGTTGGCTCCAAGTGAGGTTGTCCAGTGGTCCAACCACCGAGTCATGGAGTGGTTAAGATCTGTGGACCTGGCAGAGTACGCTCCGAACCTGAGGGGCAGTGGCGTGCATGGAGGGCTGCTAGTGAGTGCACAATATCACTTGTTTGTAGTTTAAGGAAATGCTCCAGAAAGCCTCCTAAATGTGTCTTTACTCTAGATGTTGGAGCCTCGGTTTAACCCAGAAACGCTGGCCATGCTGCTAAACATCCCACCGGAGAAAACACTGCTGAGACGCCACCTAACAACCAACTTTAACAACCTGGTGGGAGCAGAGGCTCATCTCGAGAAGAAGGTGTACACGGAGGCAGTGGGGAACACCCCACTCAGCATCACAGCTAAAGTCAAGGTAATATGATGCATGTGCGAGCAACAGTTTACAGTTTGGAATGGAAAATGAAGAACTTGCCCCTCTCTTCCTGCATGCTGAAAAAAGACACTTTAATCTGAGGTAAGACCTGGGTGTGTCATCACAGTTGAAGCTCTGAGCCTCTAAAGTTTGTTTAAGCCTTCTCTGCTATCACAGACTTAAACATACTTTAAAGTATGGGAGTGCATTAAACCCTCCACTGTGGGTCCTTCTGTGCAGAATAATCCACCATAAGACACCAATGTTGATCCAATCCTGAATTTGGACACTTGGAGAGAAAAACCTCTAAGACAGGGGTCAGCAACCTTTACTACCAACTGCCATTCGGCCCCCTCTTCCACCAATTAAAAATGTTCTGGAACAGTAACAAAATAATTTGAGAACAGCTTATTATGTTTTATGTAAAGTTTTAATATACCAAGAAAAACTATAGTTTGTTTATGAATTTATAGAATGACAATAAAGAAAACTGTTATTTTGTGTTTTCTTCTGTGCAATTTAACTTACTAGTTTTATTACAAAAGAAAACACCTAATTCTTTTAAGGAGGAGAAAAATACACTTGCATGTGTAGGCATACTTGAGAGAAAAAAACAGAACTCTGCAGGCCTGTTCTTCGGCACATGACTAATACATTTTTTTTTTAAATGGACAACTTGCAAATACAAAAACATATAGCTGCAAGAGTACATTTGAAACATAAAAAGAGTAAATATATGAATAGTTCAGTTTGGATTTAATTATGACTCCGCCACATACAGCTGTCAACAGTATCTTCATAACAGCGCTGCCCGTTCAGTATAGTTCACTGACTCAGACTCAGGCCAGTGAACTAATGTCCTCAATGTGTTCCTTTTCTCATGTTGCTGTGTTCTATGGTCTTTACCAAGAGAGACATAACACTCTGAACAATTTCCCCTTTGTTTTCTAAGTCAAGAAAAGATGCTGTCATATTTAATAAATCATTTGTTTGTGTATTCTCCGACTGTTAACCGCGCTCCAAGGAGCAACAACAATATCAGCAGTGGTTCAAAGACAACATTTTATTTGCTATGCTCAGATCTTTGAGCATGCGGGGGTAGGACACTCAGGATGGGTCACCCGTGTGCCAGAGCTTAGACGAGGTAGGATGTGATGCATTTGAGTTAAAAACATTTTAATTTTATTGTAGAATATGATCCTTTCAAAATATTGTCCACTTTGCAAAAAAAAAAAAAAAAATAGCTGTTATTTATTTCCAGGTCAAAGTTACAGGGAGCCACAGCAGAGGGGCTGAAGAGAAGCATGGCCAGGATTTCAAGGTGTAGTCGTGGGGGAGCGGGGCTGAAGTTGGGTTGGTTCAGGGTTGCATCGCTGCTTTTTGCAGATGATGTGATTCTGATGGCTTCATCTCACTGGCGCTCGCAGCTGAGTGTGAGGAGAAGCAGCTCCAAAGCTGAGGTCATGGTTCTCAGCAGGAAACCGATGGACTTGACAGTAGGGAATGAGTCCTTACCCCGAGTGAAGGAGTTCAAGTATCTCGGGGTCTTGTTCTCGAGTGAGGAAACAATGAACGCGAACATGAGCTCAGAATCAGAAACAGGTTTATTACCAGGTAGGTTTACACTTACCAGGAGTTTGACTAGGTGTCGTGGTGCATACATAAAAGTAAAACAACAATTAAAACACAGATAGAGAACTAGAACACATATTTAAAATAATAAAAAATATAGTCAAATATAAATATGACAGTATTTACATTGCATTACAATATGGAATAAAAAAGAAAATCAGGCAGTAATAAGAAAAGAAAACAGATATTGTTGTACCTTGTGTGCATTAATGTAATGCATAGAGTCTATGATGTGGCTGAGGTAAAGTGTCAGTGGGGGGGGCGGGCCTTATTGATGAGGCCGGTAGCGGAGGGGAAGAAACTGTTCAGGTGGCCAGAGGTTTTGAGATGGGGCGGGGTGGGTGCTGCAGTCGCTCTACCGCACCGCTTTGAGGAAGGCAAAGCTCTCAATCTACCGGTCCATCTTCGTTCCTACTCTCACCCATGGTCATGAAGGGATGGTCATGACTGGGGGGCTCCCTGGGGAGGTGTTCCAGGGACATCCAGCTGGGAGGAGACCAAGGGGCAGACCCAGGACCAGGTGGAGGGATTATATCTCCACGCTGGCCTGGGAGCGCTTTGGGATCCCCCCTCAGAACTGGTTGATGTGGCCAGGGAAAGGGGAGTACTGCTGGAACTGCATTACACCGTTAGCATCAGGTTAAGGCTTCTAAAAAGATGTAGAAATCAACATTGAGATATAATGACACTTTTACAAATTGTTATGGCAACAGTTAAAGCAAAGATTTAGCACACATAGAGCAACATTAGAATTCATTTGTGTGAATTTAAGTCCAACGTTTCGTCTCCATTTAGCTTTTTGGTTTCAGCTAAGTCCTGAGTTCCGAAGTTCAACAATTATTATAATCTTTACAAACAGAGCTACACAATTAAGTGCAAGTTATTGCCCCTGTATGCAACACAGAGTGAACATACAGATATTTCAATGAAAAAAGAATAAAATAATATATAAAGTAGTTATCTACATGTACATGTATTCACATATACTGTACTATGTACAGTAAATGTTTAAGTCTGTAGGGACTTGGCTTGGGCACCGGATAGTCAGACCAAGTACGGACTGTGGACTGTAATCTTGAGAGGTGCGCTGGACCCCCACACTGATTCCCAGGCACTTTAAGTATCTTCCCACTACTTCCAATTCTAGGACGGTTCAATTCAAAGTGTGTAGTGCTGTGTGTGAATGTTAGGAAAATATCACTCGTCACCGGCTTCAGCTTCAATATCAGGATACATGTATTTATTATCCTTGCAAGAATGGAAGTAGTCATCACACACAGGTTGCATGGGACAAATAGTTCTCAGAATAGAGTCCTTGACATGCCTTATATACAAGAGAGTGTTACAGTCACAAGATGAGAGAATACTGGTTCAAAGCAGTATTCTGACCTTGGTTCAGATTAGCTGAGGCCTGCGTAAGCAATTAACATGACAGTCATATGCCTATCTCCCTAGGGGCTGTGTCATCATGTTTAATCATTGAACATAGCTATCATATGTTCAACACATTGTCTCATGAGCTTCTTCTATGTAGTCATACATCCTGTTACGTACACAGCTACGTAGGGCCTTTGTTATCATGTGCTACTCTGATATTAGAAGAGTACATTCAGTATTTTCCCAACAGTGAAGATTGAACGTCATGTCCTTTTTTCTTCTTTTATTTGCAGCCAAAGAAGTTGGGCTTCACTAACTTGACTCATCTCAGGAGGAGACGGCCAGATGAATCCAAAGACTACGTGTGCCCAATAGAGTCGTCCTTGCCTCGGTCAGGAGTGCCTGCAGTGAACGATGAAGTGCAGGTGCAGCCCTAAAGCTGGCTTCATGGGTCTGAGCGCAGTCCTGGACCGAGAGTCAGACTGCCCCAGGGCCCGGGTTGGGATGGACAAGAGCAGAGATGATCAATTGCCAAGATAACAGCTGTGACAGCAACATTACAATACCAAATATAATATCAAAGCTCTTTCTATCAACCATCAGCCGTCACTGCTTCTGCTCGGCTTTCTCTGCTTGCCAATAATACCTCAGCCTCCTCCTCCCTGCTCCTCTGAACCCCACCCTGTGCCTTACTAGTGAAGAGAGGCAAGGATGCCAAGATAAACCGCTGCCTATCATGACGGGTCAAATGAGACAATTCATCTACACTCTTTAACGATTTGATTATAATTCCAGTCAGACACCTCACTCGCCGACCTCCACCCCAAACGTGTGCCATGATGTAACTCATCACCATCTCTCTAGATTCCACCCAACAAATGAGTTCATAAAAATATCTCTTGTAAAGTATTGAGTCATTTGTATTTGATTTGTGCACCAGCAACAGATGATTATATGCACTAGTTCATTACCATCATTCTGTCATGTGGTTAAGAAACGTTGTACAATATTTTCATTTGCGTATGTCATTGCAGAACAAATACTAGCATGTTTATTTTGAACCTGAGGTCTTCATTTTGTACTGTCATTTTCATATACGCTGTAATAGTATATTTATTGTAAATAAAACCTTGCTCCGTAAAGGAAGCTTACAGGTGTCAATGATTCAAACCATTTCATAAAAAATCACGTGTGTAAAGTTGATTAATTTAAAAAAAAATAAATAAAAACTTCCATATAAGGAACTATATAAACTTCAGGAAGTAAACATATGTGCGGTTTTCGGGGTCCCCCTATTCATAAATCGTCTTAAAAGGCAAATTAATACACATTCCATAAAGCGAAACAGATGTCTGAGTAACCTGCTTCAACTACTAACCTGTTTTTATCATCACCATCATAATTCTCATCATCACCATCCTCACCATCATGTGGTCCTGCTGTCATGGCTGCGCTCCGTTAACTTCTAAATATGACATGGCATGTTTGAGTTCAGCAGAAACATGCATCACTCCAGTCAGTAATGTATGGCAAAAGGGATTACTTGGTATAGACTGAAGCCAAGGAAACTCATCATCATTTCACTCAATGTCATTCAAGTTATAATGAGTTGGTGAGGTAGTGTGTGTACGTGTGTGTGTTGCATATGGAGATTACAGTGATTACCACGTTGCAAATAGAAGTTCTGTCTGAAGCATCGCCAACCTCACAGAAACTGCTGGTTATGATTTAGGCAGATAATTCACACACCAAGTAACCTCGCCTCTTTGGGAGTGGGACGTTTGAATCACTCAGATAAAAAACTCTAGACATTTTCTGAGACCCTTTATAATGGTAACTAAAGAGTAACCTGGTATTTCACTTGCTGTAATAAGGCAGATGCAAGTCTTGGTTCTTTTGCTCCTGCTGTGTTTGCTGAAGTCATCTCAATAATTGAACCCTGAAGGCTTTGGATAATAAAAACGTTAAACCATGTCTTGGTAGTTGCCTAAATCAACATCACTGGTTTAGTGTTGAGATCAGTTGGATACCAATGCACCAAAAGCACAGGTGTATTTTATAATCTGTATAATGATTGAGTTTTGTGTTTGCTGTTTCCAGTGTCCTGTGTTGTGCAGGCTGGCCTAAATGGCTTACTGACAAAGTAAGTGAAGGTCATTCATAAAGTAATAACTACTTTTTTGGGTATAATATTAGGATGATCATCTGTTCTGTATAAACCCATCTGATGACCATAGTAAGTCACAGTTAAGAGTAGAACTAAAAAAACACAATTAAGTTAAGCTAAGTTTCTCAGTATGATCTTTTTGTTGTAGTTGTAAGACATTACTGCATTAAACAACGTTTAATTTAGCTCACGCTTTTCTCCAAAGTGACTTACAATAAGAATGATGTTGGTGTTGATGTGAAAAGGCTGAATAGGACAAAAACCTATTTAACCCATGTTACTTTGTTAAAAGTAGTTATATTATTTTAGGAGGGAAATATTCAGTGGAAATAAGTTTTCATATTATAAATGATATGTTAAGATACAATAGCTAAACACTTCACAAAAGTATCTTGGAATTTAGACCCATGAAACTTTAAAGACGAGACAGTGGAGATGATGGGAGCTCCTTAGTAAAATGCCATCTAAAGATATCTTTAAACAAAAGTGTCAGTTATATTGTAGGCAAACATTAGCATCCAACAATTTAACAGTGAATCTGTCAGGTAGGGTAATATATGATGTGTTAACCAAAGGAGCAGCTTGTGAAGGTGCAAATGATGGTTGGAACAATTCAGTTCCATGGATATTATCCATTTCAGAAATAACAGATATGAGGAAATGTTGAAACAGTGTAACCATTCAAATAATTTGTACATTTTAAATATGAACTGTCCCGCATATTTTTGTCACAATTCTGAATAAATAAAGCTGCACTACCATCAGCTACCTTGAGAGCTTTTTTGCCATCCCTAAGCTCATTGTTTTGGTGCGGACACATTCCTTACTGTTATGGTTTATTGCAATGCTGCTGTCAACCTTGTTCCTACCTCAGCAGCTGGCAGCTGTTTTCAGTGCAAACACTTCTGACACACATGCATTAGTCCTAAGCAACTGCTCAGCACCAAAAGGCAGAAATAGTCAGTCCCTATTTGGAGGATATGATGGAGCTCTAGAAGCCAAAGAACCAGTTTATTTTCTAAAGCGCTTTACAATAGCTGCCCACTGCTCCTACTACTAGGATGGGTTAAATGCATAGGCCAAATGTCACTGTGTGTGCTGTGTGCTATGCATGTGAGACCCTTAAAGAGGGGTTCATCCCTCTAATTCTATCTTCTAAAGCAGGGGTCGGCAACCCCTGGCACGCGTGCCAGCATTGGCACGCGGCCCCGTAACCAGTGGCACACTAGGAATAAGTGGAATAAGTGTGCACAATATTTAAATTGTATTTTCGGATCCTGAACGAGACCGCCGTCAGAGCGCGTCTCCCCGTTACCTGCAGAAGGAAGCCATGCACGCAGCGCAGCCCCGCTCTCTTTAACTCCAGGTGACTTTCTGCCGCTTTCCTCCGTGGTGCAGGGCTGATCGTTTCACCACAGAGGAAAGCACTTCACAAATTGCAGTACCCATAAGGAGCTTTACAAATGCCGCAGTTTTTGCGTGGCTGTGTCTTTAGTTGAAAGCCCAGTGGCGATCTGCTCATCTCTCATTGAAATAATATGCTACAAAGGGGCGGACTGGCCATCTGTGTGTTGAACTTTCCTGTCGGCTCCCAGACCGTAGTCGAGGAGGGCAGAAGCAACAAGCTTCAGGTTCAATAACCCACTTTAGCTTAAATGACTGGAGAGAGGCGAGCTCTTCTTGAGAGGCCGTTGCATTTATTTAGCTGTTCTTCTGTTTCACAAAATACATCACAGACCTCTGTTTTTCTGCTGCCTCGTTTCACTTCCAGAAACATACACACGCTCACTCACTCTCGCTCTACCATCCACACACACACATGCACACGCCACACCCCTCTCTCTCTCTCTTAAAGGGACAGCGATCTCATCTCACTCTGCATAACATGTGTGTTCTGGAGAATTACAGAACGGACGATCGTCCTTATTATTATGCCGTTTAAACCAATTATTTAAATGTGTTTGTTAAATTCGGTATCATGTAAGTTGCGCTGACAGGTCCACACACTGCTTCCCCGCAGCGAGGCTCCCCCCGCCCTCCTGTTGATAGTTCACGAGCGTCAAGCTCCTCAACGACCCCCCCCCCCCCCCCCCCCCCCCCGTTGATAATTCTCGATCGTTGGCACGCTGATAACAATTTTTTTTTTAATGGCACTTCATATCAAAAAGGTTGCCGACCCCTGTTCTAAAGAGTTGGAGCTCAAATAAATCTGTGTTAAAGATACATTTCTATCAGGGCTTTGTATTGGCAAGATTCTGGGTAACTATTAAATATGTACCCTTCTGCAAGGTGATATATTAAGATTTGTTATTTATAATTCCATGTAGTCTTTCATAATAAAAACACAAATAAAATGTTCTTCTTATTCCCTAACGTAACATTAAAATATAGAGCCAAACTTGAAGCTGCTGAAACCCATGTTTTCTTCTGTGCTTCCTTCAGAAAGAAACACAGTAGAGCAATTTGTTTACTCATCAAACCCTTCAGGCTTACCAAGGTGAACTGGTAAGATGAGTCTTTGTGTACCTAGCCTTCCTACAAGTTACAGACACCACACCCTTGTTAACACGGTCACGCAGGAACACCCCTCAGAACCTGGGGTAAGAAATCCTCTCTATTCTACTGAAGGTTCAGTAGATATCAGGAGACTGAAGACTAAGCAGCAGCTGTGCATCTCAGATAGGACTGGAGCAGAAGGCAGGTAGTGTACTTGGAAATACAGAAACTTCTAGAGCATCCTGGTGAGTATCTGCAATTATTTTGTATGCGTTTTTTTCTAAATCAGATTTCAGACCATGTCATTTCTACTATATTAGCACATTATGGTGTCCACTGTGAAATAAAAGACAGTTGCAATGGTTCCGTATTGTGGGACAGAAATAATACAGATGAGGATTTTCTTTTTTACACAAAAACTCATGGAACAATCAATATCTTTCCAGGGTATCAGGGACACCACCCTCTGAACTCCCATCCTCCATTATTAGTCCACTATGGGCCAGACAATCAGCAAACCAACCAACCCCCAGAACTCCAACTTATCTTTAAAGCTCAGCTCCCCCAGCTCCAACGAACAGAACATGGCCCCTCGACCAAGCATCTTCTCCACATTAAGAAGGCCCCTCATCACCAAAACCAATGATTTCATACCGCTATTCAATGATTGCATCTCTGCCGCTGCATCCAGAACACAAGAATACCTCCTTTTCAAAGACCCAGAGGACAAGTTCCAAGCAAGCTCTGAGGTGCTCACCCAGGTAGGCCATCCTTTGAAAGCTGTGATCTTAACAATCTTAGACCTATAACCATTACAGGTCACACAGATAGTGCAGTTACATGCAGTATATTGAACTCTTTGGTGTTGGTTCTCTTTCCTCTTCAATAACCCAGCATTGCAGAAATTGAAACATTTTCAGGGATCAGATCATTTATTTCTCCCATAAACCTGACAATTATTATTGCCTTTATACTTAGTTGATTTGATCACTACCTTGCTCCTTGGCATCAGTAAAAGAATCCCTCCGGCTCAGCCAAACTATACTGCTAAGATTTGAACTCTAGGAAATCAAGTCAGGGCTTCTAAACTCTGGAATTAGAATCAGGGCTGCAAACCATTTTTTGTCTTTCAATTCGCCTTTGAAAAAAACTGTCTTTTAGATTTGTATTTTTTATTTATGTCTTATGACATTTTGTGTGTTTTATTTTGTGTTTATTATTCTTGCTGTTACATTCTCATTATTATCTGTTTAATCATAATGGACTTTGTAACTATTTTTTAAAAGTGCTATATAATCAAAGTTAACTATTTTTAAAATCTATACTTAAAAAACCTCTTTAGAATTCAAAAATGTCTTTTAGGTGGTCTTTAAAACATCTTGCCCTTTAACAGGTCTTCCTAATGACCTACATCTCTCAGAGTGTCAGCCTGAACATGACAGACAGATTCAACTGCACGGCCATGACGCCTGAGCAACGCATCCTCTTAGGGCCCGACTGGGTCTGGGCCATGCTTGAGAAGCCCACCAAGAACCCTCGGATCCAGATCGCTGTGCAGGTCCTACACCTCCCTGGCAGGGAGGCTGCTGAGGAGAACAACATCCCCCAAGAGGCCTGCACCGAGTCCATCCAGATTGCACAAAAGGAGTCCAGTAACAAGACCACATACGAGAGAATGGTGGACTTCTGCACATCCATCGGCAAGGACTGCTACGCCCTCTTCTTGTTCTTGGGAAAGAAAAACGACAAGGGGAATATCTACGGAGTCCTCAGCAACAACTTTGAGGCTGCAATCGGAAAGTGCAACAAGATTGACAGAGCTTTTATCGAAAACTTCTTCAAAGGCTCAAGGTACCTGCATACACCTCCAGGAATGATGCAAGCAATTGTAACCAAAAAAGAGGGAGACTCTCTCACTCTCATGGTTAAATTCAGCTAAAACAAAGCACCTTTCACGTTTTAATGACCAATAACATGATACATTGATATGGTAGTAAAACCTTACATGGTCAACTTTATTGACAAAGATGTTGAGTTTGATATAGTATAATGCCTTTGAAAGAAAATGCCTATGATATTTTCAATGTATATCTGACAGTGTGCTTTTTACTGAGAACTTCACTACATGATAACTGGATAGAAAACAGGAAACAATTATACCTAAAGTTGAAATAAGTGGAATTATCTTTAAAGCACCAACCTCATGATAAAGGTTTGGCAGAGGAAACTAACATTTGGAATTATGTATACCTTTTAAAATGAATAAAAGCTGCAAATCACTTAAATGTTTTCATTAAAAACTCCTGCTTT